TAAGAATGAGGTTGAAAATCAACTTAGCAAATGAATAAAAGTTATTCGTAGTGACAAAAGTGGAGAATATGAGGCGCCGTTTGAAGAATTTTGTTCAGTTTCTGGGATTATTCATCAAACTATAGCATCGTATTCACCTCAGTCAAATGGTATTGCTGAACACAAAAATCGTACTCTTAAAGAGATGATGAAAGCTATTTTAATCAGTTCTGGTTTACCTCATAACTTGTGGGGATAAGCAGTTCTCTCAGCAAACCACATTTTAAATAAATTACAGCACAAGGGTAAGAACGAAACTCCTTATGAGTTAGAAAAAGGTTATAAACCTTCATACAAATACTTAAAAATGTGGGGGTGTTTAGTTAAGGTAGAGTACCAAAACCTAAACAAGTTAAAATAGGACAAAAAATCATCGATTGTGTATTCATTGGATATGCCAATAATAGTAGTACGTATCGGTTCCTCGTACATAAGTCCGACATTCTAGACATACATAAAAATACTATTATTGAAGCAAGGAATTGTGTATTTTTTGAGGACATTTTTCCTTGTAAAGATAGGAAAGAGATTAATTCACAAAAACGAACTTATGATAATCATCAAAGTGATGAAGAACCAAGATGTAGTAAAAGGTCCAAAACAACTACATCCTATGTTCCATGTTTTCTAACTTATTTGTTGGAAAATGAACCTAGGACATTCAATGAAGCTATGTCAAGTCCAGAAGCTCCATTCTGGAAAGAGGTTATCAATAATGAAATTGATTCTATTATGAGGAACCATACGTGGGCGCTGGTAGATCTCCCACCACGTAACAAGCCGTTGGGTTGTAAATGGATTTTCCAAGAGAAAATTAAAGACTGATGTATCAATTGATAAATATAAGGCCAGATTGATACTTAAAGGGTTCAAACAAAAGGAAGGTCTTGATTTTTTCGACACATACTCTCTGGTAACAAGAATAACGTCTATTAGAGTATTAATTGCAATCGCAGCATTGCATAATATGGAAATCTATCAGATGGACGTTAAAACAACTTTCTTAAATTAAGAGTTAGACGAAGAAGTTTACATGGAATAACCTGAGGGGTTCATTGCTCCTGGGCAGGAGAAAAATGCTTGTAGACTCGTTAAATCACTGCACGGACTAAAGCAAACACCAAAACTGTGGCATGAAAAATTTAACAAAACTATGTTGTCAAATGACTTTAAGATTAACAAATGTGATAAAAGTGTTTATATTAAAACCACACCCAGTACATATGTAATTGTATGTCTCTATGTTGATAACAAGCTAATAATGAGTAGTAATCATTATATCATAATAACTACCAAGAAAATGTTGACAAAATATTTTGACATGAAAGATATGGGTATTGCAGATATAATATTAGGAATTAAAATCCTTAAGACAGCTAAGGGACTTGTTCTATCCCAGTCTCACTATATTGAGACCGTGCTTAAGAAATTTCATGTATATGATGAAAGTCTAGTTAAAACTCCAGTAGACTTAAGTCTACATTTGGCCAAACATAAAGGTGAGCCCGTATCTCAGTTGGAGTGCTCTCGAATAATTGGTAGTCTAATGTATATCACCAACTGCACTCGTCCGGATATAGCATATGCAGTGAACAAACTTAGCAGATTCACAAGTAATCCAAATAATGACCATTGGAAGGCATTGACAAGGGTTCTTAGATATCTACGATACACCTCAAATGTTGGATTATACTATACAAGATATCCAGCTGTATTAGAAGGATACAGTGATGCTAATTGGATATCAGATACAAAAGACTCAAAATCCACTAGTGGTTATATCTTTACCATCGGTGTGCAGCAGTATCTTGGAAATCATCTAAAAAAACGTGTATAGCTCGTTCCACGATGGAATCCGAGTTTATAGCTTTAGATAAAGCTGGAGAAGCAGCAGAATGACTTCGTAATTTTTTAGAGGATATTCCATGTTGGCCTAAACCTGTGCCTGCAGTTAGTATACATTGTGACAGTCAGTCGGCTATCGGTAGAGCACAAAGTATTATGTATAATGGTAAGTCTCGACATATCCGTCGAAAACATAATACAACTAATCAATTGATCTCGAATGGTGTCATTTCCATAGATTATGTAAAATCTAGAGAAAATCTCGTGGACCCGCTCACAAAAGGTTTACCAAGAGATCAAATGTACTGTCTATCAAGGGGAATGGGTTTAAAGTCTACTAGTAAGGATCTTTGTAATGATAACCTAACCTTGCTGACTAGAGATCCCAAGATCTTGGTTCAATAGGACAACTAAATTAAGAAGATTCAAAAAGCACTTCGGAGTTTACTCCTACATACTCCTATGATAAAAGAAGTGCTATCCGCAAAAAAGTCTTAGGTTAAGATATGCTTTTAATGATTCCTATATCTTGAACTATCCAAGTTGAGTATGGCAGGTACTCTTAATAAGAAATCACCTATATAAGTGTGACGTGAGGCCGCTTCCATAAGAATGTTTCAAGGTCTTGAATTCTCTAAAGTACTTATAAAATTCAATAGTTGTTCAGGGTCAAAATGAACACGACAGTGAGAACTCAAAAATATTAGGAATGTTATTGTGTTGATGCTATCATCTTGGTTTACAATAACAGCTGACAGTTCAAGACATCACGTTCACTGATTAGTCAAGTAAATCCGATAGTATACTACTATGGAAGGTTCAAACCCATAAGGTACCTATCCAGATGCAATAACTTTCCGCCTAATCTCTTGTCAGGGTCTGCATCATTTATTGCATTAATTTCCATTCATGTGGGGGATTGTTGAAAAATTGGAATAATTAGTTGGTTTGACCAACTTTTGACTAATTATTTAAGTGGGTCCCGTTAGCTGGATAAATGATTTATTTGGCCAAGTGTATTATACTCCATAAGTATAATTGATATATGTATTTATTTCTCAAAACTAATTAAGGGTGAATGAAAAATTAAAGCAAAAAAATGACCACTTGAAGTTGAAATAAATTGGGAATAAAAAATTGGTGGGAAATTGGAAAGTGTTAAACCCACATAGGAAAATTAGAAGAATAGAAATCACTTTATATAACTCAAGTTAAGGACTTGGGTTTGAGCCCCAACGGATACCACTAGTTTTTAGAGGGGAGAAGACCTACATGTTAGTAGGTTCAGTTAAAGCCCACACGAGTGCGCGGTCGTCGCCGTTCGTCCGACCGGCCGACTCGGCTCGGCACGGGCCCGGGTCCAGGTCGTGGTCGTGGGCTTGGCCTAGCTGGTATATATATTTTTGGTAAAATAATATTTTATATTATATTATTTTATTAATTAAATATTATATTATATTATTTATTTTTTTATTTCCCAAATTTTCTGTGCGAGACACGTAGATTCTTCTAGAAATTGGCGGTCGGAACAGTTTAACTGCCTGTCCAAATGGGTTACGTTTGTTCCGAGATACAACCGTTCGGCTGTTGTGTCTTTTGGGCACAATATTTCAACTTCTATAAATAGACCCCAGATCCCAAATTTTTATTCACTCCAAAAATTTATTTTACTTTCCTTCTCCTACAATATTGTCTTTCTGTCCTGCAGTTTCCATACATTTGTATTTTAGTCCCAAATATTATTTTTGTGCATTTTAGTCCTCCGATTCTCGAGAGATCAAATATTAGTAGGTTCGTTGGGCCTTGTAATTTGTAGTGCTACTATTACAAGTCGAGGTCGTTGTATCTTGGGAGACGAGTGCCAGAAGACCGTCAGCACTAGTGCAGGGCAATTTTGTCTTTAGGAGAAATAGTCGAATTTTTGTCTCGACCATTATTCATTCTAGTTTATTGCGCTAATTTTTGTAAGTCAAAATTCTGTCCGAATATTTATTCGCTATTTATTTTTTACCGCACGACATTCTCGAAGATTTTCAACACATTTGCTGACTCCACCATTGTTAGTAGTGAAATACGAAGTTTTCAATGAAAATCTTGAGTTTGCTGGATAAATCTCAAGTCTATTCTGATACAAATCATCTTGCTATAATTTTTGTCAATTGTCCCAGTTGATAATTTATTGTTCATTGATGGAGAAATGAGATTATTGTTGATTCTGATTTGATTTGTGAACACCTGATAGGAGGAAGTGGCAGAAATCATAGATAAATTAAAGTGAATCTGATGCTCACTAAATTGCCTACCTTGCCAATTCTACGTTGCTCGGTTAATGAGAGTTCAAATTCAAAGTGATACCCATAATTTTATTCAAAATGGCCTAAAAGAAGACAATTCTAAACATTCTCCGGACAGACTTTAATTCATTTGGAGTCTAAAAATTACCTTTGGTTTTAAAATAAACGACATTGTTCTTCGCCATTCTTCACAAAGCGCATTGTTACTTTCTTGTCACTTACATATTACCCATATTAAAATAGCGTATAGAAGTCTCTACGAGAACCTTTTCAAGAATAACTTAAAATTGAAAAGGGTAGCCACCTTAAGAAAGTTTAAACTCACCATCTCATTAATGATGTACAAAGCAATTTTTATAAAATTTTGTATGGTTAGCTTTATCTATAACATTCTTAATTTAATAACGATCACTTATATTTGTAGGTATTGTCTCAATTCTAACCCATTAATTTGAAATGTCGGCTAGATATGAAGTTCAAGTGCATATCCCCTGTTCGATCCACATTAAATAAAATTACATTACATTACATTTTTCTCTCTCCTATTTTTAATCACACAATCTTCCATAAAATAATATTACACGTAAATCGAAAACTTGTACTTCTTTTTCAACCACTCATTTTTCTAAAAAATACTATTTTTCCCATTTTCATTTTCAGATAATGGAGGTTTCAGAAGATCTATTTCTATCAAAACATGCTTTAAAGAAAATTTGAAGGAGGGTACTTTTTTCATTTTCTCACTTCCTATTCCTTTTAGGTAAATTCATCTAAAACTGTCCCCAGCACAAGGCCACAACTGACAAAAGTTGACGATAAAGGCTAAAACTTGAAATCCCTATTTTTTGGCCTTCAATTCCTTTCCCTCTTCCTCACCCCGCCCTTTCCATCTCTACTGCGCCTGCCACTCCTCACTCAGAGTCGGAGACAAAGTAAAACCCCCTGGATAACCCTTTTATTCACAGTGACCACAAACAGTAAAAATAATTGAACTGCTGTTTAAGAAATATTACCGAAACGGCTTCTTCTTGTAGTTTCATTAGCAGCACTAGCAATAAGCTAGGAAGAGTTGCAGAAACCATGGCTAAAATCGGTTTCTCTACTCAGACAAACCCCTTTAGGCCTTCCTCTTTTTCTCCCCCATATTTCTGGTTCTGTCGTTCTTGTACTAAAGCCTACTCTCCATCTCGTACTGGTTGGGCTAGTTCTACAAAAACCCTCCGCAGGTACAGTTTCTTTCAAATTCACTCGTTTTATACTTTCTGTTATCTCGTTATATTTTATCATATGTGTTTTTGATTCTCCGTGTTCTTCATTAAGTTTTGCGTATTTTTGTTGTTGGGTTACTGGTGATAGGCCCCGAAATCCCCCCCCCCCCCTTATTTTTATTGTCATTTCCAACGGTCTTCTGGAATTATAAGGACAGTTTAATTTTTATGTATTATTTTGTGGCAGTTGTTGAGAAATAATATCTTTAGAATCTGCATGAGTTGTCCTTCAAGTTTTTGTTGTTGAAGAAAAATGAAAGAGGAAAGGGATGAACATTTTAATGTCAGGCGCTTCGGCTACTGGCGGTTAATATTGAATTATGAAATAGCAGTCACATTGATTATTTGGAGGCTAGTAATGTAGCTGCATTGGAATTGAGCTGGCTTTAGAGGGTTTAGACTGAATAATAAGCAGTCAGCTATGTTTTAACATTTTATGTAACGTTAATTTGCAGGCTCGAAGATTTCAAACTTGAAAGTGCAAGTGGTTCCTTATCTACTGGAACTCTTAATGTTGATTCCCATCAGTTAAAACGAAGATCAAATTACAGTACTATGCAACATGATGAAAGTCAAATTCACTATCAACGAAAATATGCTTACCCAGCTCCCCACTCGAAGATGCCTTATGTGCATAGAGAGGGCAAAAGTAGAGAGGAAGTAAATGGAGAAGTTTGTGGCAGCATCGTGACTCTTGGGCATACTGCTGCAGCTTGGGGTAAAGCAGCTGAAGAATGTAAAAAGAACAAGGCATTATTTGCGCATAAAGAAAACATTGCTGTGAATCTTAGAACCCTTCCCGAAGAAGATACTGCAAAAGGAGCTAAGTTGGGAGTCATAGAACATTCATCTGAGTGTATCAAAAGAGTAAGATACTAATTAAACTAAGAATGCACAAATTGTTTGCATTATTGAGTATCCTTAGCCCTTGCTTGGTTCGGCTAAAAATTTGAATTAAAATCTCAGTCAAAGTCAACAGTTAATTTTAGTTACACATTACAGGGGACTCTCAAATTTTTAACCGCACTTTTTATCTACTTTTATCAAAATCTATTAAAAATCTGATTTTTATCCAAACCAAACAAGGACTTAATGTCTATAAAGAAGCATTACAATCATGAGTTTTCTTTTGGCAGTATAAAGGAGATGGAAGCAGAACAATCAGTAAAGAAATGGAATACAGTGTCAATGTAGGACAAGACAGGCCAGATGTTTACCATGGTCCTTCGTTTGTCGATGGTGTTAGAAGTGACAAAGTATACGTGAATAATGGTGATGGTTCAATGTCATTGCAAAATCAATCATTGTTGGAAGGTGCTCTGCCTAATAGGTTATTTTTGGAGGATAGTGTGGAAAATGGGAAGGATGAAGTTTCCAAAATTGGCAACGAACTCGTGATCGATGAAATAAAAAATGGTGCAGCTGATCGTAAATGTATTGTCGCTGACAGAACTCAGATTGAGACAATTACTCATGAATCCAAGAATATTTTTGAGAGGCTTCGTACCGTATATGACAAGGTTCTGGTAGTTGATAGCATTTCTGCAGCTAGGGAAGTGGTTGGTTTGCTCACAAATCAATACAGGCACCTTGTTCACGCATGTGATACTGAGGCACGTATCCACTGGATTTATTCACATTTCTTTTCCATTTAGATACAGAGAAAATATAGATTTTTTTAAAGTTGAATTTACTTCAGTCACAAATGTAAATAGTTTATTTTGTTTAATGTTATTGGTGATGCTAAGCAGGTAGCCAAGATTGATGTTAAGGAGGAGACACCTGTGGACCATGGAGAAATTATATGTTTTAGTATATATTCTGGTCCAGATGTCGATTTTGGCAATGGAAAATCATGTGTCTGGGTGGATGTTCTTGATGGTGGTGGCAAGAATCTCATAGCCGAGTTTGCTCGATTTTTTGAGGACTCATCCATTAAAAAGGTAAATGCTTTTTCTGATGATCATTTTGTAAAGGTATCTTCTAATGGTTGTCATTTTGACCTGCCTATATCACAGTTAAAACACTTAAGCAAGCATATCTAACGAAGATGTAGTCAAGTAATTTGGTCTATATTGCACAATCAACCTAATAATTAGCTTCATCATGCTTTTTGTAGGTGTGGCACAATTACAGCTTTGATGATCACATAGTAGAGAATTATGGGCTCAAAGTTTCTGGTTTTTTTGCTGATACAATGCACATGGCTCGGCTGTGGAATTCATCTAGGCGAACTGAGGGTGGGTATTCTTTAGAAGCACTTACAGGTGATCCCTCTGTCATTCCTAATGCTAAACCGCGCCCTGGTGAAGAGATGATTGGTAAAGTATCAATGAAAACCATCTTTGGCAGGAAAAAATTGAAAAAAGATGGATCTGAGGGAAAAATAATGGTCATCCCACCAGTTGAAGAGCTGCAAAGAGTTGAGCGAAGACTATGGATTTGTTATTCTGCTTTGGATTCAATAAGCACGCTGAAGCTATATGATAGTTTGCGGAATAAACTGTCTAAAATGCCTTGGAATCTTGATGGAGTTGTGAAAGGAACAATGTTCAACTTCTATGAGAAATATTGGCGTCCATTTGGCGAGCTTCTAGTAAAAATGGAAACCGAGGGAATGCTGGTTGATCGTGCCTATCTTGCTGAGGTTGAAAAGGTGGCTAAAGCAGAACAGCAGGTTGCCGCTGATAGATTTCGCAAATGGGCATCCAAACACTGCCCGGATGCGCAGTACATGAATGTGGGTAGTGATGCACAGCTGCGCCAATTCTTTTTTGGTGGTGTTCAGAACAGGTATTAAACTGCTTCCTATATCTCTAATTAATAGAATATGAGATGAGGGAGGTCGTGGGGCCTAAGGAAGCATACAATTTACGGATTCTTGTCATGTGAAAGTTGATTACAAAACTACGTGCTTTAGCTCTTTAAATGAATTATCTCTTTATTGATGTGTTTGATATAGACGGACATAGATTCAATTAGGTTCATTATGTCAAAATGATATTCTACTAGTCTGGTGATTTATTGTTGTAATGTTGTGTCTGTAGTGTGTAATGCGACCTCAATTCCTGAGATTGCAGTTGCCTTCTGCTCTGCATCCTGATAATAGTATTCTCAACAAGAAGAAATTTTCGGGCTGGAGGGACCACTGCCTTTGCAACTCCCACTCTTCACTACTCTGTCCATTAGCTATGCTAAAATCAAAGGAATAATATGTTTTGATCCATAGGAGAAGGTGGAGTGACAGGTGGGATGAGCTTTGGAAAATTGGCCTAACTTTTGCACGAAATGACTGCAATATTTTATTTTTATTTGGAATTAGATTTCGTTCTTTGTTTGCAAAAAATTGATACAGATAATAACTGAAGTAGCCATGTGCTGCTTTCTTTTTCTTTTAAAGGTTTGATTGTCTTGCTAATTGCAATACTGCATAATATATTGGAGTAGCCATGTAGTGACTTGTTCTTTTATCATCATCCATCTACAGAAGAAATGCGAATGAGTTTCTTCCACTAGAGAAGGATTTCAAAATTCCGAACACGGACAAGATAATTGAAGAAGGCAAGAAGGCTCCAACAAAATATCGCAAAATTACACTGCATAAGCCCCTTGATGTTAATATAGAGGCTGATGTGTATACTGCAAGTGGTTGGCCTTCTGTTAGTGGCGGTGTTTTAAAGAATCTTGCTGGGAAGGTTTCTGTTGATTTTAACTTCATTGATGAAGAGAGCGTTGAAGAAGTTCCTAATGCAGGAGGTGGTGAAGCTTGGAAGGACCCAGATAAGTCCGATTATGGAGCAGCTTACACTGCATTTGGTGGTGGGCAGTCAGGAGTTGAGGCTTGCCATGCCATTGCTGCTTTATGTGAAGTTTGTTCAATAGACTCTTTGATATCCAACTTTATTCTTCCCTTGCAGGTTATTTGCTACCTTGACTTTCTTGGTGTCATGATTTAAAATCCTAAGTAACTCTCTATGCTTAGAACTTTTGTGGGGAGACTCCTGTTTTGCCTTTTTCTATATAATTTTATTAGCTTGCATTTGGTACTTGAAATTTTTTAGTGGAACACGGAAGGCTTATTAGCCGATCCATGTAGGAAACAGAAAGAAAAGACGTCATCCAGCCCATTCATTTATTGATTTAGAAAAGGAAAACATCGGGGTACAAAATTGATTGTGTCTTTCATTCAAGAAATTAAGGTTTACTTTCTGAAATTTTTCCTTGGAAAAATGCTCACTTCGGTTTAAAAATTTGAAGAACATTGTCAGAAAGCACCTTTGACACATTCAGGTTCTAGTTTTTTCTTCTCCCCCCCCCCCCCCCTTCAAATTTTCTCAATTATGCCCTCGATCTTTGCATGCATAAATGTCATTACATGCTCTGAGTAGTAACAATATGTGATGATTTGGCTCTGAAGTACTGTAATTGTGTACTAACTGAGGCTAGTATTCGTGAGGATTGTATCAATGAGAAGGGCTCAGTAATCTCAGTTGTTTATATTTTCCCTTGCATAGCTCTGTTTTGCTTTGCCGAGATTCTTTTCTCCTGATAGTTAATCAGATCATATTATTATCGACTTGTGACCGTCCTTGTGTCCATATTGAAAATTATGCGCATTTTTCTTTTCTTTCTACCAGATCTGCGACTGTGGCAAAGATGTCCGGGTTCATATCTCGTACCACCTTTCGTAATTTAGATAAGCATGTATTCTTTTTCCCTGTCGATTATTCAGGAAAAAATGCATAGTTTTTTGTCATCTTAACTGACCTTGAGTAATATTGAAATTCTTAAGTGAGCTCAAAAAAATTTCCTTGTACTTTACTGAAGGATATTTTTGATATTTGTGAAAGTTAACTTTTTCCATAACTAACTTTATTCTTTCAAAATAAGATTAAATCATTGAGAAAGAAAAAATCTTAAGAGTGTGTAATATTTTAATCATATCTTCTACGTCAGGGTAATCATATATCAGGCAAGGATGGGCGAATCCATTGTTCACTGAACATTAACACCGAAACTGGTCGTTTATCTGCCAGAAGACCGAATTTGCAGGTCTGTCAAATAAGCTATGTAATCTTCTAAAGATCACATAGTTAACTATTCTGATACAGGTTTTCTACTGATTTGTGATGGTTCTTTTCAACATTATTCCTATTTTAATTTTGACTGTGATGATAAATCTGAGTACGAATCTAACACAAATATGAAAGTGTAACTAACAAATATAATTCTGTTTCTTTTTGTCCAATGAATTCTCTTATGTTTTCCAACCCTGCCCCCATCTACAAGCAAGTTTATGAACTCAATAAGGCTTAACCCATGCTTACATTTATTTGATTCATGGAGCTTTTACTCCAAGTCCGCTCTTAGAAAATTATCATAGTAAACAACATACTATTAATTCCCCTTTTCAATTTCCATGCATAAAGTCAAATGGATTTCTAGATACCATGGTTTTAAGCCTAAGTTGTGACTCATTCACTCTCTCCCTACAGTTTCATTTTGTAACTGCGTTAAATCAATGACAAAATAATTTGCATAGTTGAGAAAATCTCCGTCAGTTTTGTTATTGGTGTGTAAAATGCCTTCCTTGCTGTATCTGGCATGTTTCTGGTTAAAATTATATGGTCAAATAACTTCGTGAACCAAATATCTTCCAACTTTTCCAAGACAATTTCAGACCTTTACAGAAATGCATCTAGTCCCACAGCGTTAACAACTTTTATCTCTAAGAGGGCCTTACTTGGCCACCTGCAGAAAATAGGCTCTCTCTGTTCTTTCAGTGTTATTTACTTTTTCTCACACCGATATTTTTCTTACAACAATACTTTATAGTCTCAAGTAATTAGTTTGTTTTACATCAACATTTGTGTTGAAAAAATGAAAAGAAAATAAAATTATTGATGGTAGGAAATATGTACAAATATGAAGGAAAAGATGTTCTTTAGAACACATATGAAACAAGTCTATCCTAACTACGATTCATGCCCACTGTTATGTCTGTCTCTGGCATTCTTATGTGATTTTGTACGTGTATTGAACAAGTTCCTCTAATCAGTTGGAACTTAGGATTCTTGCACATCTTGCCAACTGTAAGAGCATGTTGGATGCTTTCAAAGCAGGGGGAGACTTCCATTCAAGGACTGCGATGAACATGTATCCCCACATTCGTGAAGCTGTTGAACAGGAGCATGTGCTTCTTGAGTGGCATCCTGAACCTGGTGAAGATAAGCCTCCAGCTCCTTTACTAAAGGTTTACTACAAGATCTTAGTTTTATGTTGTAGTTTTCTTGAAATAGCAACAGTAATATAACAGCTTCTTAATATGATCTTAATTTAGTGTTTTCAGTTGGCTGGAGGCTAATATAAATCGGGTGATGCAATCTGGTTTTCATTGAAAATAAATTTAACGCGCTACATGTAAAGACGAAGATTGTTATGAACTGTACGCATTAATTCAAGTATGAATTTGATAGATATATGGTAGGTGTAAGAGTCTAGAATATTTCCTTAATAGATAGTATTATTTCCTTTTGAGAAATACCCTTTTTATGTATATATATGAGTGTAACCCGTTGATGAATAATATAAGAAAAATTGAGGTTTTCCCAAACTAGTTAACATGGTATCAGAGCAAAGGTTTATGAGTTTCTAAAGAATTTTTTTTGGGATTTCTCTCGGTCGCGGCAAGGGTCGGTACTTTTGGTGATAAATCGACACTTACCTGGGTTACTGCTGGGTGGGTGAAGATCAGAAGAGGCTTCGGTGGTGGTGGAGACTACTCTGCAATGAGCGTCCATGGCCGTTGTGTGATTCTCCTTTGGGTTCGCTTTGGTTCGAGAATCCTAATATGCTTCGGTGTGATAGTCGACACCTCTCGCCGCCTTTGTGTGTGGCGGTTTGCAACGGGAGTCCCAGATCAGTGATTTCTTGGCTTCATCGTATTGGTATTGCCCTCCATCGGGTGATTCGATTGGACGAACAACTGATTTTGGGTTGTGAAGGAAGTCGACTGATTTTGGTGTTGTTGGGCCTTCATCCTTTTGGACATCATTCAAGTGGGTCAATTTTGTTTATTTTGTTTGGGCTGCTTCTTCAGTGGACTTAAATTATTATTGGATTGGATTAGTATGTTTGGGTTGCTTTCTTTTGTGTATTTTTTGGTTATTTGTTAATTATGGCTGACGGTGATAAGAAAGTGGTGAATGAAATCACCGTAATCCTATCATCAAAAATCACAGATAGAAAGTTAATGGGTAGTAGGAATTATGCTCAATGGAAGAGAATTGTCCGCATATATGTGTTTAGTTTAGATTTAAGCGACCACTTGACTAATGACCCACCTCCACAATCCGATACTAATCCTAGAATTTGGGAAAAATGGCTAATGGAAGATGATAAACTCTTTAATCAGATTCAAAATACCCTTGACCCAATCGTTGATGATGTCATCAATCATTGTGATGCTGTAAAAGAATTGTGGGACTATCTAGAATTTTTATATGCGAGTAAACAAGATGTATTGCATATTCATAAACTAATGTTAAAAATTTATCGGGCATAGCAAAAGGGGTGAAATCTGTTTCAATATTATACTGAGGTGAAATAGGCATTTGAAGAAAAGTTGGCCATGTTTCCTTTTACTAGTGATGTGAAGACAATATATGAACAAGAAGAGCAAATTGTAGCGCAGTGTTTTCTTACAGGTTTGGGTCTTGAATATGAGGTGACTCGTATTTAGTTGCTCACCAGTGAGGCACTACCTTCGTTGAGGTGATATATATGCCCGTCTCCTTCGGATATGCAAGGACAATGACAAGGAGCAGGGTATTTACCAAATGGGACGGTAGTTCTAGTTGGCACAAATTCAAAGGTAAATAGCAATTGCGTTAATAAAGGAGGAGGTGGAGGTAGTCAAGATAGAATCTCGATTGATGGTTCTTGTGGTTATTATTGTGGAGAGCAAGGACATGCTAAAAGGAATTGTTGGAAATTAAATTGTGAACTAGCAAAATACACAAGTTGAACTCCTATGAGGAAATTTGCCAATGTTGCTACTCAGGATGGTTTCCTATCAATACTTATTGCGCATTCATCTCAACGTCAAATTACAATTTCAGTTGATGAATATGCTCGCCTTACACAATTTTATGCTTCTCAACAACATGTTACACCTTCCAATTCACTCTAGCCAACACAGGTAATTCTGTAGTGCATCTTTCTACCTCGTCCCGCAATTAGGTAATTGATTTCGATGCCACAAATCATATGACTGGGAATACAGTTATACTTTCATCATTTTAGTCGTCTTCTAATTTACCATGTGTTACTTTAGCTAATGGTTCTTCAATCCCTGTAGTCGAATGTGGGACAGCACATTTAACAAACTCGCTACCATTGTCTTCTGTTTTATGTTTACCGGAGTTTCATTTTAATCTTTTATCTGTGATTCAGATTACTAAATCTCTTAATTGTAGTGTTCTTTTCTTTCCTAATCACCGCATTTTTTAGGATCTTGGGACAAAGCAGATTATTGGTAGAGGGCGTGAGTTCAATGGCTTGTACGTGCTCGACTCTTCTCTCACACGTGCTAAGGTCTATTACATGCACGAGTACCTTTTCTCTTCTGCAGCTCCATTGTCGCTTCGGTCATTCTTCTCTCTCCCGATTTTGAAGAAATTATATCCCAATCTTAGTCAAGTGTCTCAATTAGATTGTAAGTCGTGTCAATTAGCAGAGCACCACAGGGCACCATATCTATCTAGAATGAAAAAACGGGCAGTGTTCTCTTTTGATTTAATACATTTTGATATTTGGGGGTCTTGTCTTATTTTATCTAAGATCGGTTTTAGCTATTTGGTTACCTTTGTAGATGATTATTCCTGGGTTACTTGGTTATATTTTATGAAAAATCGTTCGGAACTATTTTCGATTTTTTGCACCTTTTATGTTGAGATCAAAACTCAATTTGATAAATCTATATATATCTTGAGGAGTAATAATGCCAAGGAATATTTCTCATCCATATTTACTTCATTTCTTTCTCAGAATGACATTCTTCGTCAATCTTCATGTATCATTACTCCACAAAAAACGGAGTGACAGAAATAAAGAATCGTCATTTATTAGAAGTTGCACGAGCTCTTCTTTTTCATATGAAAGTTTCAAAATAATTTTGGGCAGATGCTGTCTCTGTTGCATGTTACTTAATCAATCGTATGCCTTCCTCTATCTTAGATGGTCAAATTCCTTATTTCACTCTATTTCTCTCTCAGACTTTATTTTCTCTTGCTCCTAGAGTATTTGGGTGTACTTACTTTGTCTAAGATATGAGACCTCAAGTTTCTAAACTTGATCCTAGATCCTCTAAGTGTATATTTTTAGATTATTCTTGACATCAAAAAGATTATTGATGTTTCTCTCTTTCCTTAAGACGATACGTAGTATCTGTTGATGTTGCCTTCTTTGAGTCCATACTCTTTTCCAATACTTCTGTGTCTTCTAACCCTTCTTTTATTGAGTTTGAGGATGATTTCCTTGCTTACATTGTGGCTACACCTATGTTACTGGTATCTTCTTGTCTGTCCATTCGATATGTTTACACTCCTCGTGTGCAGCAACCTTCGGTGGCACCTACTACAAACCGTGACTTATTGCCTCTACCCGCTGCTTCGCCTCAGGATTCGTCACCCCCTCCTGATCCTACTCTTTATTTCCCATTGCTCTTCGAAAAGGTAAACGGTCATGTACTTATCCTATATCTTCTTTTGTTTCTTACCATGCATTGTCATGGTCTTCCAAGTCCTTCACTGCTTTCTTAGATTGTGTATTAGTACCAAATTCTATTTTTGAGGCTTTGTCAGCGCGAGCGGCCATGCAGGAAGAAATGATGGCCCTGGAACATAATTATGCCTGGGATTTGGTTTCCTTATCGCTTAATAGAAAAGGTAATTGGATGTAAGTGGGTGTTTATTGTCAAGATGAACCTTGATGGATCTGTTGCTCGATTGGAGGCTTGTTTGGTTGCTAAGGGGTATGTTCAAACTTATGGTGTGGATTACTCTTGAGACTTTTTCTCTAGTTGTTAAGCTTACTTCTGCTCGGTTATTAATTTCCCTTGCTACTACCTATCATTGGCCGCTTCACCAACTAGGTGTTAAAAATGCATTCCTCCATGATGATTTGCACGAAGAAGTTTACATGCAGCAACTACTAGGGTTTGTTGTTCAATGGGAGTCAAAGAAGGTATGCAAATTACAAAAATCGTTGTATGGCCTAAAACAATCACCATGTGCCTGGTTAGGGAGATTTTGTGAGATTGTAATTAAATTTGGCTTTTAAAGAAGTGCATATGATCACTCAGTATTCTTTAAACAATGTACAGCTGGGTGAATTTTGTTAGTGGTATACATTGATGATATTGTGATTACTGGTAGTGATAGCAGAGACGTAAGTATGCGGAAGGCTTTTCGAGACGCAAAGTTTCAGACATAGGAGTTGAATTCTTTGAAATATTTCTCAGGGATAGAGGTCTCTCGAAGTGGTAAAGGAATTTTTCCATTTCAAAAGAAATATGTTCTAGACCTACTAGATGAAACAGGTCTAGCTGAAGCAAAACGTGGTGATGCCCTCATGATACCAAATGTAAAACTCGGGGTTGAAGATGGAGATGTGTTTGTTGATGCGGATAAATACAAGAGGGTGGTGGGCAAATAGAACTATCTCACAATTACTCGTCCAGATATTGCCTTTCCAGTAAGTGTTGTTAGTCAGTCTATATGTCATCTCCTAAAACTTTACATTGGGATGCTGTAACTCATATAGTAAAATATCTCAAAGGAGCTCCAGGACATGAAATTTTTTATAGAGACCATGGTCATTTTTGAGTTGAAGGTTTTTGAAATGCTGTTTGGGCAGGTTCTCCTGTTGATAGACGTTCTACTACAGGGTATTGTATTTTCGTTGGGAGTAATTTATTCTTTTGAAAAAGTAAAAAACAAAGTGTTATAGCTCAATCTAGTGTAGAATTTGAATATCGAGCTATGGCACAAGTAACATGTGAACTAATATAGCTACATCACTTACTTGGGGAGATTGGCATCGATAGGTCCCACTCTATGAACTTGTGGTGTGATAATCAAGAAGCTACTCACATTGCCACTAATCCAGTATTTCATGAGAGAGCAAAGCACATAGAGATATACTGTCATTTGTTCGTGAAAAATTACAGCAATGATTAATTTCGACTAAGCATGTCAGGATAAGGGATCAATTAGCTGATGTCTTTAATAAGGCCTCAACTGGAAATCTAGTAAACTATATTTGTAACAAGCCGGACATAATTGATATCTATGCTCCAGTTTGAGGGGGAGTGTTATGAACTGTACCCATTAATTCAAGCATGAATTTGATAGATATATGGTAGGTGTATAAGTCTAGAATATTTCCTTATTAGATAGGATTATTTCCTTTTGAGAAATATCCTTTTTATGTATACGTATGTATGTAACCCGTTGATGAATAATATAAGAAAAATTGAAACTTTCCCAAATCAATTAACAAAGACTATCGATAAGAATTGTAGGAGCATTAGTGATATTAGAAATCTTAGCACTTGTAGCAGCAGTAGGTATGATATTAGGTGATGGAGATATACATAATAATCACATGATTTTTATGATAAAAATGATTTATGCTTTTCAAAGAAATAGAACTTGATATCATATACTGCTTTAAATTATTAATAGACTTGTGGGAGTAGTAACTTGAGATTAGACATAGAGACCCACTTTTGGTTTGCATAAACTGATTCCTGAGGGTCTATATGCATCAGTCGTCTAGTTCTCACTAAGCTCGCAAGTGTGCAAGGTTGATTGTACCGTATAATCATCTTATCTGCATTAGGTTTAGTCTTAACTTTTCTAATTCTGAGCTAGGCATGTGGTACATTCCAATCAGCCATTAAGTCCTTCGCCATTTCACCTAATGCCATTTCTAATATAACTCCCTCCGAGCAACCTAAGCTATATATAAATTGTTGTCTTCAGAGTAAATTTATGATTACCAAAATCTTCCAGAATTGCCTTATTTAAAGAAGCAAATCATATGTATTCTCGTGGAATGTTAGGGCAATAAAGTTTCAAAATGACTAATGGCCTGTTTGCGTGTTTTCTGTTGCATAGAAGTCTTTAAAAAAATGACCCTTAGAAAGGAATCTCTTTTGAGAAATTAGGTTTTGGAAGTCATTGCAGAGGCATTGCATTGCATTTTATTTTATTTATTTATTATTATTATTATTTTTTTTTTTTGGATTTAATTAAAGTTGGCTTCTGGATTCTTGTTCAAGAAATTTCCTCTACTTTCTGTAGACAAGCTACCTAGGCCCATGGTTTTCCGAAAGCCCTTGTTTATTACTCTAAACAACTTGGATGTTCATTCTAGTTTGTTTGCCAAACAAGTTAGTCTCTGCTGACGTGCAAAAGTTTTATTGAAACCTCACGTATCACAAACAAGGCTGTTTTATCAAGGGTATTTTTCATGATCTTCTGCAATTGCAAAGAAAATTAAAATGGGGATCCAAGTCCTCATGTACTTACAGAATTGAAAATGAAAACCAGGCGCAAATTTTACTTGTTTTTGGTTGTAATCAAGTGCTTCTTCCTCAATTGAAACCAATGTGATTTATTCTTTCAGGATGCTTTTGCTTCTGAAAGACGAAAGGCCAAGATGCTTAACTTTTCCATTGCATATGGGAAAACTACAGTGGGGCTTGCCCGTGATTGGAAGGCATGTCAGCTTTTTTCAACCTGATATAACAACAAATTCCGTTCTTTTCAGTTGAAACACAGTTATTGATATGGATTCTGATTGCTATCACAATTTCTCAGGTTTCTATCAAGGAAGCCAAGGAAACAGTTGATCGCTGGTATAGTGATCGGCAAGAAGTATTGTCTTGGCAGGAGAAACGCAAAAAAGAAGCAGTCGTAGATGGGTGTGTTCACACATTGTTAGGTCGTGCTCGCACGTTCCCATCTTTGAGAAATGCAACTCCATGGCACAAGAGTCATATTGAACGGGCTGCCATAAATACCCCAGTGCAGGTCTCTATTTTGTTTTCTTTTCCTGCTGCCTCAATTTTTTAAGCTCCTCCCTCGTTGATCTGTCCTTCCCACTGTATGGGTGTGGTCTGACTTGAAAAGTTTTGACAGGGAAGTGCTGCTGATGTTGCAATGTGTGCTATGTTAGAAATATCGAAGAATGCACAACTGAAGGAACTTGGATGGAGGCTTCTTTTACAGGTGAGTTTTGTAGATCACTCCATCCTACCCTTACCCTTACCCCTACCCCTACCCCTACCCTCAAAATATAGTAAATAAATGAAGTTAATAAACAATAGAAAGTGGTTTTCTTTTGGAACAATTTATTTCAACAAATCAATTAACTGTTTTTGCCATTACATATTATGAGCCTACAATTATATTCATATTTTCTTTGCATTCAATATGAATTGTCTAGCTTCTTGCTTTTCTATGAAAATTTCCACAGATAAGCTAATCTGACCCGTTGACCTTGTAAATAATCAGGTTTATGGATGTGATTAAATCTATTTGATTTCTCTCTTCCCATGCGGGGCCTTTTTTTTCCCCCTTGAAATTGCAATTAAGATTTTTTTTTTAATGTACTACCAAACTTCTGAATTATGGTATCGGAAGTTACTTTATTGTCAATGCGACTGCGTCTCCAGTCTTCATGCAAAAGTGGCATCATTCTAATTTTTCCAAAATGAATTAATATCTTGTCTTGTTAGCTCGCAAGGATTGTCATGCTGAAATTTCAAGATTAACTTCTCTCTCTGAATAGGTTCACGATGAAGTGATACTGGAAGGGCCCACAGAGTCTGCTGAGGTTGCCAAGGCCATTGTGGTTGACTGCATGTCGAAACCTTTTGATGGAAAGAATATCCTTAACGTCGATTTATCTGTTGATGCCAAATGTGCGAAGAACTGGTATTCAGCCAAGTAGACAACAATTTTCAGTTCTTTCTTACCTGCAAACGAGTGAAATTTTGTCAATCCTCTCTACCCGCCTTGCAAACTTCTTACATTCTCGTCGTCCGAAGATGGCACAAATGTAGTAAGGGGAGGGAAGATGGATACGGGGCAATTCAGCATTTTGTAATTCAGTTTGGGCATTTATAAATCAGTTTTTTGAGCTGTATATACAACAATCTTGTCACTTGCAGGGACTTGTTTGTATGATCGACATCGCTCGTGTTAATGAAATTGGTTTGATGAGGAAAATAAGGAACAGCCCTCTCCTTATGGTCTTTCTTATCGCAACTTTATGAACTGATACCTCGTTCTTGATCTTGATTACAAGAATGTCTTGCACGGATACAGCGTTGTTCTTGAACGTGATTTGCACCTGCTGCAAATGTGCATTGCAGCATAGCTTGTGTGGCTCATGTTTATGAACGTTTTTAAATATTCAAGTTATTTTTTATTCATGCATTTTGAAGGACATACAAGTATAAACATTTGTCTCCGATTAGATTCAAACCAACAACGCTACAAATATTGCGTACGTCTTGCTATCTAAAGAGTCGAAACCTAGTTTTTGAAAACACACTCTCCAATTTGTTCTCCAAATAGTAATTTTATTAAGGGTAATTAGCACAAAATGTCTTTACCTTTCATGATTTTTGTGAAAAACGTTTATACTTTTCGTTTTTTGGTGCATTTCATCCATACTTTTATCTTTTCTTGTGGAAAACATCATTTTCATCATTTTTCTCAATAAAAAGTTATAAAATGACTAATATACCCTTTTATTTAAATAAAAAAATAAAGAATTAATTGTAATTATAGTTCCAATTTTTAAAAAAGTTCAAAAGAGGAGGTAGAGGTGGAGAATTTTTTTATTTGAAACTATGATTGCATTTAGTTCTTTATTTATTTTTATTTAAATAGAGGGTATATTAGTCATTTTATAGCTTTTTATTGAGAAAAATGATGAAAATAATGTTTTGCACAAGAAAATGTAAAGGTAGGGATGAAATGTGCCAAAAAATGAAAAGTGGGAACGTTTTTCACAAAAATCATGAAAGGTAGAAAGTTTTGTGCTAATTATCCTTTTATTTATTAATAAGTCAATATCAGGACATCCCTTAAACTTTATGACCATTTCAAAGATGTTTTCCCAAGTCTAGAAAATAACACTAACCTCTCCTATTTCTAGTTTTAAATATTACGTACATTCAATAACCACGGAGCAATGTATCATTTAAAATGAGGTTGATGTAAAAGAAATGAAAATTTCTACATTTAGTAGCAACTAATTTGTTCCTTTTAGTAATAAATTTATACTTAAAGAATTTGTGTATATATAATTTTGAATATATATGCCGCTAGTGGAAATTTATACATAAAATTCGTTGAAGGATTCAGTAATAAATTAATTAATTTTTTTAGTTCATTATATTTTTATAAATTTATAAATAAAAACAGATATTAACTATAAACATATTCTTCTTAATAATTCAAATAATTTAGCTTAAAATATTCATTAAAATATTATGTATCTTCAAAATTTATTATTAAATGACGATCGTGTTAGAATACCATGTTAATTGGATAAATTAATTAATCATTATAATATCATTATTCCATTTTGGTAATTTGATATATAATTTAACTACAAGTATATTAAGAAAAATAATTTTACTTATAAAAAAAGAGTTAATTATATGATGAAATTTAAACTATATCGAATGAGCTCTCTATATAATGTATCTATTTATCTTTAAATTATGTGCAAGCACATTAACTACATCTAAACGTCTTTGATATTGTCATAAAACTTAGAAGGTATTTATTATATTGTCTCTAATTTTAAATCAATGGCCAAGTAGACAGGCCAAAAGGATGGCTTGCCAATTGTTCTGGAGGAAAAACTCTATATTCAAATTTCAAGATTCAAGCCGATAGTATTTAACCATAAATATTACATTTAACTGGATTGTCATTCCCAGGTAATAGACTTTAATGGCTTGTCCGATAAGATCTATACATGCTTGTACTGGACAACATTAAAAGAAGAAAAAGAAGCTAAAATATTGTCTAATATGCTGTCGAGTTCTATCTAATATTACACACCAATCACGTCCCAAACGGATACAAGAATTGTAACTACAAAACACTTAAAACAAGAATTGGTAGTTAGGCCAGCTATTTATCCAAGTGTTGCAGATCAATTTCCCAAGCGGATGCCAACTGCAGTAAAAGTTGATCTGGAGTTTCACCTTCCCAGTCCCCAGGAAGTTCAGCTGATGAAGAAGCTTCATTTAAATTCAACAAAATTTCTCTTTTTACTTCCATGGGAATGCCCAGTACATTAGGCCCATTTTCCATCACTATATCCACCAACTGGGAACAGGGAGTAAAAACACTGTCAAAATATTGATCTCAACTTTATAATGCTAGTTTACTTATCTATAGGATGAGAAGAAACCTCTTAAAGTTTACTTACACAGGAAGAATTAAATGTTGCATTTATGAACTATTCCCTCTTTTATTCATTCAGGATTAACGAGATGTAAGCAAAAAGATCAATGACTTCAACTCCAGAATCGAATTAGCAGATATAAACTTTTACACCCCAACTAGAATCCGGTTTCCAAACCAACTGATAAACACTTAACAAAAATGTGACAGGTGCTGATTCCTTCCTATGTATTGAAGTAATAATTTGTAGATTCATTTTAGAAAGTGAAAATGCAGGAGTACAATATTAGTTCTATCGTAGCAGCCAAAATATCAAGGTACTAATTATTAGAAAATATACCTGTTGAACCCAATATAAGCAGATGTCAAACAAGTTCGGCTCCAGGAAAAACTGTGCAACAGCATGCAGAACTTCAGTAGCCACGTCAAGCGATAGTTGATCAATTACAGGACCTGATCTGTCCATGAGTTTTGCAAGCAATAGATCATCCCCGGTTGACAAAACTTCAGAAAATGCTGCATCGATATCACCAACATGAAGTGCATCCATTGCATTGCTCCAAGAAGTCCAGGTGGGGTCACGTTCTTGCAATGTACCATCATTTTCTAATGCTTCGGGTTCCATTTCTGATATAGCTACTCGAGCACTTCGAGAATCTCCATTATCGTCGCCAGCAAACCGAATTGCTTCCAAAGTTGCTTCATCCTTTGAAGCTTGCCACACACTTCTAGCAGAAGGCCCCTCACCAAACCGAACAGGTCCAGTTCCTTTTTCCCAAGCTCTCCTGCTGCTAACCTGATCAGTCTCATTTTCCGATTTAGTGGACATAATATCTATAGCACCGCCACCTGCCATTCTCCTTTGTCCACTCTTACCGTATGCATGGAAGTACGAAGCATCAGGTGAGTCAGATCTCCAAGATGGTCCCCTACCTCGCATGCCTGGCGCAACACCATCAAATGCTGCATATCTCTCCCCAAAGGGAATACGCCCATCGATACTACCTCTTCCTAACTTGGAAGTAGAGTAATCCGGGAAGCCATTATACTTTCCTAGATGCCGACTGGAAGAACCCTCGAATCCAGCCATAACACCACCAGCTCTTCTGCCCGTTGATATTGACAAATCTCGTGCCATGTCTTCAACAACTCTCTCGAGGCCCCTTACTCTGTTTTCAAGGGTCGTCATGTTATCACGAGACCCTCCCATAAAATCCTGAAATACAAGAGAAAAGTTAGGCAGAAATAACAAGGGACTCATCATTATAATGCAAACAAACTAATCATACTTGCAACATATTCATGAGATGGGATTGTTGCCTCTCTAACTGTAACAACTGCCTCTGAATAGTCAACCAATTTCCTTTATTATTCACAAATCCCTCAGATTGACTAGGATTTTTAGAAAAATCTGCATGAATGCTTGATGACTCCCTCCGATTTGCATCACTCCTATCACCTATGTGCCTTTCCCTAAAAATTGAACCAGAAGTTCCTCTCTCCAAGTTTTTGTAATTTATCTTAACGTGTTCATCAGCTGGCTGGAAATTCCCAATCCTTCCCTTTGAGTCCATATCATTTGCCTCTGACTCTTCCTCATTTGGCTGATTGGAAGGATTAAGACTCCGACGAGGGACAATCACTTCTACAGGCAAATCATCTGAACCTCTCCTTTCAAGTTTCTGGAAGAACTCGGGGTTAAATTCTTTGTCAGTTAATGCTGGTGGCTTCTTCTTTAGTATCCCAATCGCCTTGTCTGAAATGTTGCTACCCTTATCTTTGGACGTAGAATCAGTAGGCGAAAATCCAGTGGATGAGTCCTTCACAAATGTTTCACTTCTTTTCTCCTCAAGACTTGGATGACCATTCTCCTCAAAACAGTCAGCTGAAGCAGAAGCCTTGCCATCTGATGGATTGACCAGAGTATGAGAGGGTTATATAACATCGCTAAGTAAAAAAAGTTCAAATGAAGAATTTTTTATCCCATTCCTACCATGAGAAAGAGCCTTTTGGTCATCTGAAGATCCATCTCCTTTTCCTGCAATTTTCATCCAAAGCTGCAAAGCCTCTGTCATGCTATCTCTGACAGGTTTTATCTGGTAAAAAAATAAATAGCATTGATTTTTGTTGAGTGTGTTTTCAGCCATGATATGCAAACAAAATGGGCTTAACCTAAGATGACACTTTATGCATCCCAAAATTGATATTTAAGTCTAATGGAACAGTACTAGCAATGGACTTCCATATTGTGGATGAAAAGTAACTACACCAAAGCAATATTCTAAGTAGAATAACTTTTCCCTCATGGTAGCGATAAACATTGAATACAAAAAGGACAATCAACCTGCAACTGCCATGTAAGTTATGTTGAAGACAAAATTTACAAAGATAAAATTTACTCACTTTCTATTGGCCTAATCTTTTAAATGAAGTGATTCAAGTGACAGATTTTCTATTCATCAACGAGATGCACATACACAATATTGGCTAACTGCAGTACAGTTTCCTAGCATCATTTGCAGTATTTACACTTACCACTCAAATATTATAAGACTCTTATTAGGTAGAGGTTGACATTAATTGTCAAACAAGAACGTATACAAGAAGCTAACCATGTGACAGACAATAAAGACCAAGTTAACAATTATTTCTTCAGAAAATCCAACTGAGAAAACTAGAAAAAAAAAGCGAAAGAGTATGTTAGCCGGTCTCTGATGCATTAAATAGCTCACAACTTCATAAACTTTTAGCATGTAAGTTCTGAAGAAAAATTTCAGGAGCTCACCTTGTCAAACCGGCAAGCCTCAAGCACATTCAACGTGGAAGCAGCTTTGTCTGTGATCAAGTTGCTA